CTCCCCCTACGCATTTGCCCTCACTTTCCAGGTGTCAAAATGACAGCCAGGAGTTGCTGTATAAAAAGAAGTGCTGCTTTCCAAACATGGACTTTCTCACACAGTGTCTATAAAAACAGTTTAACTGCCAGATAGAGAGACACTAACACTGTAACAGTGATACTTTTGTATCTTCTCTGTTTTATTCATCTGCAGATCAAAGGGAATATTGTACATCTCTTTATACAATTATTTTCTATTTAGCCCTTTAGTAATCTTTGTTTTACCCAATTAACCCTAATTAACTCCTGCTTCCTCTTCTTACTCTTAATTATTATTTTACAGATGAATTTCTTTTGCTTATTGCTATTTTTCTATTAACAGTCAAACTTTTTTTATTAACTTTGATTATGATTTATTTTAGTGATTTATTTTAGTGTCTCAATAGAAACAAGCACACAATTGAAAAAAGATCCTTTATTTCATTTGTAAAATAACTTTGCAATACTTTATACAAAAATTATAATTTTAATGTCAATATTTGAAAAATATAGAATACAATTAATTTACTTTTTATCTACAGTAGATTTTTTCTTAAAACTAACAGAAATCAGAGAAGAAATAAAGTGTGTTTTTTTTAGCTGTGTTACTTCTTTGTCTATGAATTGCTTTAAAAAAAATAAATAAAATTGCAGCACAAATTTCACCAAAAATCCTAATTCTCCTACCAAAATAACAAGAGATGTATTACATACAGGCCCATATCAGAAATGTAAAAATTATTCTACAGATGTGGGAGCTGAACTGGTAAACAATCTTGATAGCTGGCTTCATGGAGGAGAGCCTCAGAAATTCCTATGGTTACCCCTATGCAAATGTGTATAAACCAACTGCTTCTGGGCTTTCTAGAGACTCTGTTACTTTGCACCTGTCATGATAGAAATACGGAGCCTCCTTCTGAAAATACTAATCCAAACGTTTAAATAAAAAACCTGTAATATTCAAGTAGCAAAAAAAAGCTGAAGAGATATCCCTGGGGGCAATGGGTTAACACTTCATCCTCCAGTGGTCTAATGCTGCATTCACCACCTAGAACAGAGAAAACACAGGAATCTCTGTTGTATTGAATGCTACTTCTCTCTGCTATAAACAGAAGAAATCTGAACACCATCCAGGTGCTGTACCTTTGAGAAGATGGCTTCTGCATGGGTGATCCACTCAACACTGTTACTATTAATTTGTGTCCGACTTGCACTACACAAGGCCCAAAAAGGTGAAGGCAGTGCCAGACACTTTACCATGGTTCCATGCTCCCACCTTAAAGAGGCTCAGTCTTTATTTTACTGTACAAGTGAATGGTCTTTTAGGTACCATGAAGAGAGAAACATCTAGGAGTGTTTAACAACAGGGCTACATTTATAAAATATAAAAAACAAACACATTCCAGGTTAAAGAATATGATAAACAAGTTACAGACATAGGAGAGAAGGTGAAGTCGGTGTATTCTCTTCCAGTGATCTTCAGCTGCCATACTGTAAAGAAAAATCATTTTCCTTGTATTATAAAATAGTATGGAATGTCACCATGTAAGCTAAATTCAATTAAAATGTATAAAATAAATCTGCATGTCACAGGTTTACTGTGATGTTGGTAAGATGTAGATGTAGTACACTATCTATTAGGTCACCATTCCCTGATTTTGTCAAATATACTTTATCCTAGCCCCAAGTAGTTCATCTAGATGAAGATCCCAACTCCCATCCCAACTCTCAAGGTGAAGACCCCAACTCCCATCCCAACTCTCAAGGTGAAGACCCCAACTCCCACCCCAACTCTCAAGATGAAGACCCCCAACTCCCTCCAAGCCATTAGACAATCTTGACTTTTGCAATGAACATCTGGATCATGCAAGTACCCATAACATGGTCATATACACAAGCTGGTTCTGTGACCATTATATCTCCTATTATTTCTGTTAAATGTCTGGTTGGGAATGTCAGCTCTATTCATATGCAGCCAATTATCACTGGGACTAAAACAGCTTATTTATGTTGATATTAGATCAGGGCACTGTTACACTTTGGCCTACTATTAATCAGTTCCTTGCTATGGCAGTAATGATAATTTTTGCAGAATATACAATGAGGGGAATTTATCAAAACTGAAGTAGACAAAATCTGCAGCAGTTGCCCAAAGTAACCAATCCGTTTCTATCTTTCATTTTCAAAGCTTAACTGAACAAAACTGAACAGAGAAGCTGATTGGTTACTATGAGCAATTGCTCCAAATTTTGTCTGCTCCAGTCTTGATAATTCCTCCCTGTGTTGTAGTAGGACACAACTAGGAGGAATGAACAGTAATAATGATGCAATGTTTGAATAAGAGAAGACATGGCATTTAGCACATGTATACTTTTATTTATAGAGAGGGGTCACACTGTAAACATGCCATAGGGATAGAGGGTAGCAATGAGATATAACACTTAGGTGTAAGAACCAGTATTACCATCCTCTGGGTACCCCGTGTGCTTAAAGTGACCCTTTTTGACTGTTTTACTGTTTAAAGCCCATTCCATGTGCACCGTGCTGTAAAGCTGGTGATGAATGAATGAGTGCGTTTGTCATTTGTTTTGCTTGACTGATTCGGTGCAGTGATGCATGGGGGGTCTCAGCTGCCATTGTGATGTGCGGGATCCCTTGTGCGTCCCTGTACCTTTAAGGGAGGTTGGGCTTCCTCCTGACAAACCTGCACCCAATTCTATCTTTTGCCCCATGTGCTCTAAGATGGAGACTCTCATAGTTTAGAGTTAGGACCGCACTATGCAGAGGTGCCTTGGCGCGGCTGTGCGGCTTTCACATTTTCTGCAGAAGACGTGTATCCAAACCTCTGTTTTTAACCTTAGTGGTGAGACAAGTTTTTTTTACATGCTGGCTTGTGAGTGTGCTGGGAAAACTTTTTGCCGTTTTGCTTAAAGTGACCCTGACAAAAATTAGAAATGTCAGGAAGAGAAATTATATTTACCTGTCCTGCCACCTGCACCACCAATGTTTTGATCTCTTCAAAACCTATGGTGCCTTGAGAATCCTTTCCATCCAACACACTACAGGAAGTGTCAGATTCCTGGTCGCCCACACAGTGCTGAGGCTCCTTTTGCCAGCCTCATGTTACTACTATTTCCTGCAGTTCGTAGGGACAGAAGGAACCACATAATTCTTTAGGAAGACTAGGAATCCAAAACTCCTGAAAGTGCCAGTCTTTATAGGGCAGTTTTAAGGGAAGCTTCTACTGAGAAAGTTTGGAGCTTACCTCTCCTGAAGATACCGACCCAGGACAAGCATAGTAAACAGGCTAATTACTATGTTGCACTGGTACATAGCAGAAGAAAACTCTATGTAAGGCCGATTAGGGGGGAACGGTTATCTGACAGTTTAGAAAACCTTCTCCAATTGGTATTGTTTCCCATTCATTAGTTTGGTGCTAGATGTCTCTGCAGAACTCCATACTTAGCTGCCCTCCATAGCATATTATTACCATTCGTGTTTAAGCATGTACACAGTGGTGTATTTAGGTTTTGTGCTGCCCTAGGCATGACTACAACTAATTACACTGACAGTGTAACTGCTGGGTAGAGTCACACTATTTGTTCTTGTTTGTTCTTGTGACTATTGTCGCCAAGACAGAGAATGGGAAATACAAGATAAGGGTACATATTCCAATGGGGACTCCTGGTCTGGAAACCAACTGGGACAGGATCTGCCTCTCTTTTTGCTATGTCTCCAGGACAGGAAGTGAAGGGAAATCTCCCCAGAGGGTCACAGGCAGAAAAAGGCAAACTGAAGGTACTTTTATGCTTTCCTTTTCTATCCCAAACTACATAAAAAGATTTGGGCTTACACTTACACTTTACCCCTAAAATTAGGGAGATCAAATTGAACACAAATTCCAACTTCTGGGTCCCAAGGAAGGCACAAAAAATCCCCTCACACACATTCATTTTAACACTCACCTGATTCCTCCATGCTATGACTCCAATAGTAGCAGCAATAATAATTTTTACAGCAATAGCAACACAGATGCCGATAATTATTGATATATTGTCTTTCGGCTTTGTACTGGGATCTGAGGGGGAAACACAAAGAAAACATGATGTGAGAGTACTGCTGAGAATCCTGTGTATTGAGCCCCAGGATCAACTTAGTCCATAGAACATCATTTGCATTGTTACATTATATAATGGATGCAGGCAGCAGTGATATATACATTTTCTAAATGAGATTAACTGTGCATTAAGGAATTAATTAAAACCGACGTCTGACACTGCAGGTATACGCTGAGTTTTGGGTCACAGGAGGACAAAGTATGTGTCGTCTTGTGATCCTAAAGAAAACTATGGCCAAAAAAAACTGAGCCAGAGTTGTCGTTTAACATTGCATGTGTAGCACCCCCCTGACCCCCAGAGGCCTGAGGTAGACCTCCAAAGGGCAGAGAAGGCTGATATTTCACTCTCAGGGGTACATGTAATGGGTCTGGTGCGGCTATAGTGGCTGGTGTGGATCTCAGCTTCGGATGCCTATGTATATATGATTTCAGCTATAACATTTCTCTAAATTCAGACAGGTATCGGTTAGATAGGAAGACCCAGATCAATTAGGGAGCAAGTGGTTTTATTAAGGTTGATGAGTCACAGTTGGAATGGGAGCAGCTGGGTTTAACCGAGATGTATTGGCAGTTCACAGTAATCACAGCTTTAGTAATGTAAGGATACTTGCAGTGAGTGGGTCCTAGGTGTGTTGCTGCGACCCAGTGGTGTCTGGAGCGAAGTCCATGTCTCCTATGTAGAGCTGGTTCAGGGGAGGAGATTTCCCTGCAGAGTGGGCTGGCCAAGAGCAGGGCCGTGGAGAGGCTGGGATAGCCTGAGAGGAGGGGCCCAAAAGAGAGGAGGTCGAAGGGGCTCTGTCCGGCCCAATAGTCGGGAGTTTTATGGGGCTCTGTCCGGCCCAATAGTGGGGGTTTGTGTCGGTCTACCGCAGGAGGTATTTGCCTGGCGTCAGGCTCCTAGCACGAACGCCAGGCAAATGACTCCGGCGGTTTAAATAAGAAAAGGGGTTGGAGTCCGGTGACGTCTCCACTCGTGACGTCACCCGAACTACGACGGAGCTGCTCGTATTGCCGGAAGCTGGTGAAGAGGTAGAAACGCTACAGTACATCCTTAGGCAGTGAAGGGACATGTGATCCTGAAAGTTGGGCGCCGGTCACTTTAAGTGCCTTTTTAAATGCTTAATTGCAAAACATCAAACCTGGAGAGAGGGTATAGGGCTTCAGACATCCATACCAAAAATAGAACAGAATAGACTCCAGACTCATCAATCCCTTCAGACTTCCACAGTGCAAAATCAATAGGAGCACAGGCTGACACTGGGCAATGGAGCAACAGGCATGACTTCTTCCATAAGGAGAAACACCAGACTTGATGCTGAGGTCCATATAAGCTCCTGGTACCTCTATTAGTTATATGGCTTCTCTGGTTCTCCTCCCTCAATCAGTTCGAGACCCCTTCATGGCCATTCCACAGAAGGTGAAAAGGCTACACATGTATTAGACAATAAGAGTAAATCACAGTCTTGAGGTTAGGCTAGTTTCAGAGGTAAATATAGAAGGCACAAAAGAGGAAGCAGTAATACCATGCATCCTGTCATGGCAATATGTATTATGTGCACAGAGGAACATTAGGTTGCAGGGGAAAAGCCAAAATGCTTGCAGCAGAAAAATTCTTAACACTGAAAAACAAACACAATGCTTTTATTTAAAGACAAGATATATTTTTCATGCTACTGCCTTGGATCTCCCATCTTAAACCATCGTCACCAGAACTGATGCCCCCACTGGAAGATTTCCCCTTTCCTCCAATTCTAGTAAAACCTGTAAAAAAATTCCCGTTACTTTCTATCCCTGTGAGAGTGGTCATCGGGACAAACAGAGAGGATGAATTGTCAGAAGGGGGTATGAGTTTTGCTGATTAGTGAGTTTTAGCTGTGACACAGCAGCGTGGGGGGCAGAGTCAGACCTCTGAAGAGAGACCACTGCTTCCACACAGAGGGCAAGGGTCCTTCTCTGCAGTATGCTGGCAAGTGACAAGATTTTCTACTCAGGTTGTGTCTGCTTTCTAAAAGAATCAAACTGTAATACTTTGCACATCTTTTGATTTGATGCACCTGGAAATTCAAATAGGCTTTAAAATAATCCCATAGTGTATTGACAGGAGAAACTGTATTTACACTCACCCCAAATCACAGCAACAGTCTCCTGGAGGCTGCTGTGTACCACATGACAGGAGTAAGTGTCTCCCTCCCTTGTTGTTACGTCCACCCTGACTCTGATCTGATAGGTGCCGTCAGGATGGGGGAGAATTGGACTCATTTCATCTGAAGGAACATCATCTACTCCATTCCTCACCCACTTCACATGCACAGCTCGGGGGTGAAACCCGTACACCAGGCACTGAAGTCTCATCACACCATTAGACTGACGACGGCCCCACACCTTCACCTCTGGATGCACTGAGAGGGAAAAAGAAAAAGACATATATGATCTGCTGGCAAATGTACTTATTGTCTCTACTGAGAAATAAATAAAGTGTGTGTATATAGATATATAATATATAACCACCTCGTTTCTCTAGATCCTCTCTCCCACATACAAAGACTTCCTTCAGCTGTCCTGTACAGGTATTCATCAGATAATTCCTCCATTCCTCTGCCTGTCTTGTCTCTGCGAGGTTCCAAGCCTGTGTGGAGAATTTAGCTTCAGGTGTGACTGGGATCCAGTTCCACGTCTGTGTGTCCAGATATAGGAAATCTCTCCCGTTGTATGCATGCTTATTATACACTGCAGTGCTGCCGTCATCTCCCAATTCACAGCCAACAATTTCCTGGTAGATATGTAGACCTGCAGACAACACAGGAAGATGTCACGTGGGAGCAGAACGCGTGTTACCATGTCTGAGAAATTCAGTTGTTTTTTTTTCTCTACATACCATCAGCCGGGGAAGAGTGAAAGGTAATGCTATTAAGTACAGGGGTGGGCAATTAATTTTCTGAGGGGCCACGTGAGAAATTGGGAGGGCCAAATCAATTAACTCACGGTGCTGTGTACTGACTTTGTTATACTGCGGCAGATGCGTTGTGTTGCCATTCATTGTAATGGCACCCCAATTGCACCTCCTGGGCGCTATGCGATCGACTGCACCTCAACGTGCACTACCGCAATATCGTGCATTGCGGTGCAGTTAAAAAAAGTAGTGCATGCAACACAATGCACCTGTTGCACTGTAACACACAGTAAGTGCATTGCACAGTACCGAGCAATCGCATGGGTGTGAAAAGGCCCCCACATTAGCCCTACAGAGTATGACCCCCCACTAAGTATGTGGCACATACCATTTTTTTATTGCACATATGGGAGTGAGCAGGTGAAGCTGCAGGAGGAGGATGGAGGAGGAGAACAAAGGAGGAGAGTTGGCACAAATAGGAACTACCTGAATCTGGTGCACGTGTTGGAGATCTTATTGAAACTGTTGCAAGGCTTTCAGGACATAGGCGCCGGACATTTTAAAGGGACCCTACCACCAGAAAAGTGTACCAAATGCTTTACTGCATAGCCCAAATATGTTGTACCTTCATACAATGTTTCTACCGTGCTGTTTCTATTTGATACAATGTATACACTTCAAGGTGGGAAGATTGTCTAACCTCCAGTCTTTGTAAATCGTTTAGTTAGTGACTCCAAATTGTCTTTGCAAGCCAGCTCAGCCTTCTGATAGTATTTTGTCTCTCTCTCCCAGTATTCTGATTTCATTTTCTTCATCCACTCAGTCTTGGGAAGATTCTGACGAGTGTCACTGTTATAATTTGTTATCTGCTGGTCATCCACATATCCGATTGAAGAATACGCAGGCAGCCCGGATCCCGGAGAGGAGACTCCAGTTCTATAGTACCGGAGAGAGTGTCTGTCTGAGAGAGATACGGGCATATTCAATCAAATGAATTGGAAATTCTTGGGTGCAGTAGCACATTGCAACCAGAACTCAACTTTACGTACAACTTACATATACAGTACATATAACTTTAGTACACTGGAACTCCCCTGTTGCTTTGCTGTTTGCATTACCTGCATAAGTCTGTTACATCACGCAGTGCTGTATGCATTCAGTGCAACCTTTAGCAAACTTTTAGCTGGTACTACAAGTACCAGCATGCAGAGCCAACCGATTTTATTTTTTACACAATAGCAACATGTTTTTGTGTGTAATGCACCTCAATGCCCAAACAAATAAGTGAAATAAGTGCCGCTGAATTTTTTACGGTGCAGAGCTCTACACCATAATTATTCTTTTAATTTACCCTAATTGTAGATAATTTTACATTCACTTACATTTTCCTAATTCAGCTTCACACCATGCATGCATTGCAGTGCCATTCATTTTGAATAGCACCATAACAAATAAAGGAATAGATCTCCAATGCGCCTGCACTGCAGCACTCCACAACGCATAGCAACGTTGTGGTACGCTGTGTTGAAAAATAGCGCAGGTACATTTTCTGGGCCGTTGCTGTGCATTGGTAGCCCATTCATAACATACAGGGGTACAGGTACACTTAAGAATGAACTGATACAAGGACCTATGTGTGTGTAATTTAGCTCTGCTTGCCCAATGCAGGGCTAAGTGTAGAAAACAACTACCCGCCTGGCACCCCGAACTGTATGTCCCAGGCATCGGGAGACAGGAATTCCCCACCCCTGCTGTCCCTCTACTCCCTGCTGCCCCAAGGCTGGGCCTTGGTTGGCCTTGTGGGAAATCCGGCCCTGACCATAACCCCACTTCTTTGGGGCAGGAATGTAATGGGCACATCAAGAGCTGCTGACAGCTTTTTATAACAGACTCAGATGCTTGGTGATACAGGGAGATTTAACAATGGGTAACAATCTTTGTACAATCAGCTTTAGATTTACCAAATCTATGCAATATGAGGACCTCCCTTAACTATCCAATCAAGATATGTTCAGTCAGTCAGGCCCTTGCAACACATAGCTGTTAGCAGATCTAAAGGACATTGCATGATGAGATTGTAATGTGTCTAGTGAACGTTAATCTGAGGACTCCCCCCTCTCTCCCACTATAGTGGCCCTAACACTCCTGATGATTTGCAGCCTCTATTTGCTCCCTATCACCTCTTTATACCATCCTTACAAGCTGGTAGTATATTGTCTTCTGCACGCAGCACATCATCCAGCTACAGAAGATGTAAGGAAGAGAGCTAAAACCACAGGAAGTAAAATTGCGTAATGATTGACCAGTTAGTGCTGCCGTAAGCAACTAATTAAAAAACAAATCCTCAACACAGTTAAGTACTATCCATGATACAGTTTTATTTGTGCTAACAGTTCACTTTTCAGAAATAAATGTTTGAGAGCCGCCGGGATTTTAGAACCCGGTTAATCAATAAAACGTTTTTAAACAAGTTCCCTGGCTCTGGTAAAGCAGCTCTAAAAAAAACAAAGCCTCCTTCTATGGGTACCCAGGAGTGACTAGAAGTGTAGACGTACAGAAATGGGTCCAAAACCAAATGGTAAAAAAGTCCATAAGACTTTTAACTGTTCGGAATGCAATCACAAAGCAGCCAACGCATTTTCAGGGACAACAACACTACTACCCCGTCATCAGGGCTTAGAGAAATGGCTTGAATGGATTCTAACAAACAGTAACTTCCGCTCATCACCGTGTCAGACCAAATAAAGATCACTCTGGTTATAGATCATTTGAGTTAATTCAACTACTCTTCCAGTTTTCTAAGCCCTGGTGAAGGGAGAGCGGTGTTGCCTGAGTAACGCGACGGCTGTTTTTCATGAATTGCAAGCAATTTAAAGCAGTCAGAATGACGTATTTATTCGCAGAGAATTTTTGTACAGGTCATTCTGAATTGAGAAAGCTGGTCGGATGACCAGTGAAACGTCTTCAAGAAAAATACAGCAAGTCCAGTTGGCTTGACTTATTTTTTACAGATAATGGAACAGAGTTGGCAAAAAAAAAGACAGTGTTAACCATTCTCTGCTTTATCCAAAATGGATAGTCATGTGTTCATCTATTTGACTTCTTAGCTGATGTTTATCTTTGGTGGATGGGTAACTGTCAGGGAATCGGGTTCCGTCCCCTGGGTCAGCCGCGCCGAGCAGTAACTCAGTTGGCAGGAGGAGAAAATCACACATTTGTGAGGTTATTTATAAATGAAAAAAAACAGTTTTCTCCCAATTATTTATATTGTGGAACCTGGCCTTGGGGCGGCAGGGGGAGTAAATCCGGCCCTGCATAAAACTTTCCCAGTTCCAAACAAACTCTCCAATTTCCTGTGATAACTTAAGTAAATAAGTCAGAAAAGCGTTGGTATATTGTATAACAATGATGCATTTCCTGCTTAGACTCCCAGACCAAAATTCATCGTAAGATATACAAGGCAGAAAGAAAAGATTCCTCAGTACAAACCGTCTTTATTATAACAAGGTAAAAATATAGAAAACACAAAAACAGTGCTCGTCCAACACTAAGGATGGATTGCTTGGTGTCTTAGGGAGCAATGCACCACCAGCAGCTGCTTCCATGTGTGCATGCTTCCCTTATGTGTGTGATGATGTCAGAATGCTTTGACTGCATCCAACAAGTTTCATCTCAATAGACTTCACCAGGAGTGGCCAAAGCACTGCCACAACAGGATACCTCAAATAGCCCCATTTACTCCTTCCATGCCAAGGCTGCAAGTAGTGACTGTCCTGGCTGTAATACAGTAACTATTACTATACCAGTCTATATCTAAATGCATTCTCCGTGTCTATTAGCAGTGGTAAGTAGCTGCTAAAATGCTTTAGAGCTGTCGAGGGTCTATGTATTAGGTACTGCCACCTCTTGGTGTTGCTGAGGGTGCTAAAGATATGAAGCAGGAACAGGCAATCACTGGGCGTTCTTATATAATATAGCAGTAGTCTCTAAAAATAGCCAAATGAATAACCTGTCAGCTTAGAAACCTCCCCGCTATACTTACCAGCACAAACATCTGATGCCGCCAGAATAAGCAGGATAAAGGGGGTCATCTTCATCCACTTGGCTGTGATGTTCTGCACACCAAAATGCACCATCAGGAACTTCAGAGGAGCTCAGCTGGGCACCACAGAGGCAGTGATGTGGTGTGTGTTGGAGGGCAGAGAAGTGTTCTGATTGTGTAATTAGAGAAGATGAGCGCACACCACAACGCACTGCATGAGGAACAACAGCATCGCTGCCAAGTGTTCCTCATTTAGGGGTAAATTCCTCCATCTCTCTTTCCTCCACAGTTGATCTTCTTTTTGGTCAGATGTATAAAAAATGTACTAATTATAGTGTAACCAGGTTCCGACTGGGGCATAGGGGCTCACCAGAGGAAGTGAGCTCTGCCATCCTGAACTATCTTGCTGTAGTCCCGGGTCCCCCAGAAGAGTGAGGGACTCTGAAAACCACATCAGGTAGGGATGTGGCCAGCGGGGAGAGGCAACTGGAGGTGGGGACGGACTATGGAGG